AACCTGGGAAAGAATGCCTATAGAAGACAGGGTTTGGGAAACCAAGGGGATACAACCTGGTCATTACAGTGGTAAGTGATGGCATAAAAATGGTGCGATGACTTGGCTAGTTCCGATTACATCAGAGAGCTTACACAAAGAAAATAATAAGCTCAAGGCTTAAAACTTCCAGCATCAGCAGGACTTAGAGCTGAAATTCTGAAAGATTCAAAATTTGTTTCTATGTAGTTTGCAAATTACAATATAAGTAGCATTCTTATATTTTCCACGTCTCTCATGTGAAAGTTAGGTCCTTAATTGGGATGGAGGGAAACCCTTAGAACTGGAAAGGAGCTGTCGGGCAGAATCTGAGATGTGCAAACCCACCAGTTTGTTGAGCATCCTTTGCCAGTAGAAGAAAGTCCTCCTCCTCTATTAAGGACACTAACTTGCTCAAAAATCCCCTAAACCAAATGCCTTGCAAGAAGATGCTCATTCTCCCCAAGACCCACCCTACTACCACTAATTACTTTTAGACCCATAACTAGAGCCATAGTACAGAAAACTCTAGAAGGAAACTTAAAATCTCTGACCAGGATAGAGAGGAACTTGAACTAAACAGTAGAAAAATGCCAGTTCATAACAGTGGACACTTGGAAAATATGTGTTGAAATGGGTCCTAAGGGTCTTAGTGAGGCTTTATGGAGATCAGCTGTTAAATGGAGTTTGGCGTCTACCTCACAGTGGGCCCAATGGATCTAACCATCTTGTGGTTATTTCCTTAGTTCCTAAATACAGAATTGGTATAAATGCACTCAATAAATGGCAAAATCATCCTATTGGTTCAGGAACTTCCTCTCCTTTTCAGCATGAAAACCAGAGCCAAGGCTTCTGTACAGGAGTGCTACAGAGATTAGTGCCCTCATCAAAGACTGCAGAGTTCCAGGGCGCATAATTCCTATCACATTCTCATTTAACTGCCCTGTTTGGCAAGTGAATTTTAGAGAATGACTATGGAGTATCATAAATCCAATTAGGTGGTGATTTTATTTTACAGCTGCTGTTCCAGATGTATATTTATTGAAGCAAATGAACACAGCCCTTGATCGCTGATATGCATGGTGATCAGTTAAGTGCTTTTTTCTCCATATTAACGTCAAGGACCACCAGAAACAGTTTGTTTCACCTGGCAGGGAGAGGGCCGTGCCAACTCTCCTCCTCTCAGTTGTAATAGAGCGTGGAGAACCTGGACTCTGCTGACATCCTATGGGATCTGTGCATCACCCATTATATTGACTGGACCTGAGGAGCAGTTCATGACAAGTATCCCAGAAACCTAAATAAGACAAATGTGTACCAGAGTGTGGGAAATGAACACCATGAAAACACAGGGGTCTGTCTCTTTAGAAAAGTTTCTAAGGGTTCAGGCATCTGGGGCTTGTTGGGATAGCCCTTCCAAAGTGAAGGACAAGTTTCCTACCATGAAGAAAGAGGCGCAATGATCTCTTTGAAGTTCAGAAATAGTGCATGCCAATATGAGTGTGCTGCTCTCACTCATTTGCTGAGTAACTGACAGTTGGCTGATGCCTGGAGCAAAACAAGGTCTGCAACAGGACAAGGTTGCAGCACAAGCTACTTCATCACTTAGGCCTTTTGACCTAGCTGAAGTCTGTGGAAAACAGAGATGTTGTATAGACCTCTGGCTCCTACTTGCTATGGGCCCAGATAAAGATTTACTGTCTGAACATGGGATGCCAGATGGTTACACAACCTGAGTTACTCGTCGTGAACTGAATGGTATCTAACCCACCAAACCATAATGAAGTCTGTGGACATCAATACTCTGTTCTTAAGTGGAAGTAGTGTATATGCTCTGAACTGACTAGAGTACGATGAGTTTTAATCCCATAGCCAAAATACTGTAAGGTCTGGAATCAAAGGGCGGAAGTGGGAGTGGTTCCTCCTATTATTACTTTTAATAACCTACTCCCCAAAGTGTTGCTTCTTGTCCCTAAAAATTTTACTGATTCAGAGATCTTAGTTCCTAGGAGAGTGTATTCCAATTTGTATTAAGTGTTTTAAAGGCTCTCAATTAGTCCTCACAACACTTTAGTGAGGTAAGTAAAATAGTTCCATTCTTATGATGAGGTTTGGTAATCAGCCAGAGGTCACCCAGCAACCCAGCAGGTAGTAGGAGGCAGTGCTGGGATCTGAACCCAGGTTCTTCTGCTTTCAAACCCTCTGCTCTTTCCCAACAAAGAAAGCTTTTAGGTTGTCCATGAATCTGTAATTTGGGCAGGACTCAGTGGAAATAGCTCTGTGCAATAATGTCGGCTTGAAGATTGAGGGCTAGAATCATCTGAAGGCTTTTTTACTCACATGTCTGGCAGTTGATGCTGGCTATATCACCTTGGACCTTAGATTGGCCATAGACTGGAACACCTATGCGTGGTCTCTCCATGAGATCTGGGCTACCTTACAACATTATGACTTGTTCCCAAGGGTAAGCATAATAAAGCAGAGAGAGACAGGTGGAAGTTGTATGGCCTTTGAAGACCAGCCTCGGAAGTCACATAGAGTTACTTCTGCTGCATTCCATTTATCCCACAAGGGCTAGCCCAGTTCAAGAGGAAGGGAAGCAGACTCTACCTCTTGGTAGGAGAGTAGCAAGGTTCTAGAAGAGCATGTGAGGCCAGAAATATTGCCATGGGCCATTTTTGGAAAATACAATTTGCCACAGCATTACGATGTCTAATTTAGCAATAGAACTAAAATTTATTGGTGTAAATTCAGACTCAGTCATGGTTAATTCAGGAACTATGGTGGTCTTAAGTCTATGGATGGGATCCATGGTGGATTTAGCAACAGGAAGCTGAGACAATGAGTCAACTGTTTATAACTTGGAGAGGAGGTTAGGCCTTTATTATTTTTAGCTATAAGAAATTCCTTCCTGCCTCACCACCCACTACCATAAAAAGAGTCCACTCTACTCAATTTTTCATGTCTGTTGAGTATTCTTCACAAGTGTCTTTGAGTGCAGCAATGAATCTTTACCACCTTCTTTGAGTGGGATAATACCAAATGTCATGAGAATGATTTTTATGAGGAAATAGCAGCATTTTGTTCTCAGTCCATCATAATTTTAAAAATAAAGCCATTATTAATTATCAAAGTATTTTATAAAAGCAGAAAAGTTAAGAAGAAAATACATGAGGAAGTTATGTTATACACAGAGGGTAAAAGCCAGTCTCACCATCTACCCTTATTTTCTCCCAGAGGTTGAAGAAGAGATGTAATAGTTTGACGTATGACATGCTACATGAGCGCTGACACACTAAACAAGGAACAGGGATGTAATGGCAGTAAAAATTGGTGAATGACACTCAATGATTACATGAGTAATTCCTTGACCTGGTAAAGCCAAGTTTCCCCCAAGCCTCACTAGCTCATTGGCTCTTGGTAACCTGCCCCATCACTACCCTAAGGGTCATGGGTAGGCTCCAGGAGTGAGGGTGGGAGAGGAAGATGCTTCATGTGTTTATACAAGGTTCTCTCATGTTCTATACCCTTCCTGTGAGAACTCTCATTTCCACACCAACATTGTTACCTCCCCATATTCCCCAAACAGCAAGACACCTCACAGGGGCTATGCCATGTGATGTGTGAAGCACAAGGGGAGAAGATCTCTGCTAACCACCCTATCACATGCAGCCACTCTACCTCTCACCAGAAAGAAATCACTTTCTTCAGTTTCCCCCTCCATTAACCTAGCACGCATCCAAGGGGTTGAAGTAGAGATTGATGGCAGAGACTACCATTTCCAGACGATTCATTCCCCTGGGCACCCCACAGGCATCACCCACATTTTCAGCTCGGCCCAGATGAGTTTGAATCCCAGTCTAGGCTCAGTATTGGGCCTCCATGACAAATACTTCCATTTTGCAACTTCTTTAAGTCTTTCCAGTGCTCCCTAAATGTCATGCTAGTGATGAGATTTGGTGGGTCAGGCAGGACTCATGGCCTGGAAGAAGAGTCTGAACTGTGGACTCAGGGGTTATTCTGGAGAAAAAAATGTTGGAAACCAGGACAAGACAGAAATGAGATTGTCCGAGAATGCAGCTTGAAGTATGATCAGATACGTAGGAGCCAGTCACTGAATAATTCCTTCCATTGTCCCTCAGCCCCATTTACTTTAATCATGGAAGGGCTAGATAGGGACAGAAGTGGAATTACTGAGTAAAAATCCTGAACATTACTAAAACTTGCATATTATTATATCTCTCCTTGTTTTAAACCTTCGGGAGCTCACCATTGTCTTCTGGATAAAAGCATAAATTCCTAAACATGGCATACATGGATCTCCTTCATCAGGTCCTTGCCTGCATTTTCAGCCTCAAGGTACCACGGGCTGGGTGGCTTTAACAACGGGAATTTATTTTCTCATCATTCTGGAGGCCGGAAGTCCAAGATCAAAGTGTCATCATTGTTGGTTCCTTCTGAGGCTTTCTTCTTGGCTTGTAGGTGGCCATTTTCTCCATGAGCCTTTCCATGGCCTTTCTTCTCTGTGTATCTTTGTCCTGATTTCCTTTTATGATAGGGACACCAGTCAAATTGGATTAGAGCCAACCCAAACGACCTCACTTAACCTTAATTACCTTTTAAAAGATTCTATCTCCTAATATAGTCATATTCTGAGGGACTATGGATTAGGACTTCAGCATGAGTTTTGAGGGGACACAGTTCAGTCCATAATACCTCTATTAACCCTTTTTCTCATTGTCCTTTAAAACACACACACACACATACACATACACACAATTCTTTTGTTATAACTAATGTTTCTTTGGGTTATTCTTGCACGTGTTGTTACTGTGTTGGAATGCTTAATAAGTCCTTTAAGCTCAGCTTGCTCAAAAGCCTTCACTGCAGCTCTGTTCCTTAGATTATGTTCCCATAGAACCTTCTGTAATGTTCTATCATATTGTCTGTCACATGGAATTGTACTGGTCTACCTCCTTGTCTTTGCCCCACTAGCCCATGGAGGCAACAAAGGCATATGCGACCTCTGCCTGCACATAGGTGATGTCCCACAAATTTCTAATGACTGAATGAAAGGTCTACTATTACTTTTTGTTTAATAACTATGTGATAGTAATGATTAACTCAAGACGAGGGGCCATGAGCAGTATCCTGACCCCCACGTTTTCCCGAGGCCAGGGCCAGGATAAGTGCTACAAGGCTGCCATTAGATGCAGAGTCTGGTGCCTGAGATTAGGCTGGGGGCCAAGGCAGTGTGGAAGTTGGAGCATCATGGGCCCAGACTTGGGTAAGTCTAACACCTTAGCTAAGGTGTTACTTACTTAGGTAAGTCCTAACACCAGCTCTACTGCCTGGCTCTGCTTACTCTATGCCTGCAGGTAAGTTATTTGACTTCTCTGAACTTAGTTTCCTCATCTATAAAAGTGGTATTAATAATGCCTACTTTGAATTGGCGTTGGGAGAATTTAATAAGATAACTTATGCAAGGATGTAAAATAATCATTATTGAGCCTTTAAAAAGATATTAATGATAGAGTTTTAATGACATGGAAACATTCTAATATTTAATGTAAAGACAGTAAAACAATTTTATGAAATTAAGTCTATGACATGAGCTCAATTATGTGACAAAAATTACACATAAGCACACACACAAACACAGACATTAGAAAAAAAGACTGGGAGCAAACACACCTTTCTGTTAGCTGAGTCTTCCAGGGAGCAGATATCTTGACGGGGTTGGGAGTGTGTTTTGTTTGGGGGGGGGTTGCTGGGGGAATAATACCTGTGAAAGATGAAAGCAGGAGGAAGCAGGATTGGGCAGAAATAGCCTTCAGAGCACCATGTAGACCTACCTATGGGAGAAAAGAGCAGAGAAAGCACTCTTCACAAAGCAGATCTGACAGTCTCTGCCAACCCAACAGGGAGCTTCAGAGCAAAGGCTGACCATTGGAGGAGTTCCACATTAGGCAGAATTGACCAGGATCTGGTACCTCCACCATGCTCAGTTGGTGGCTAGGAAGGGCATGGCCTCAACTCAAAACCTGAGGAGGATCCCCAAGGTGCTAATGGCTGGAGGCTGTCAGCTAACTACATTCCTTGCAGCTGAACTGAGAGTTCTTTCTCGAAGGAAGATCCAAATGGTTTGTCTCCTTAGCTGCCACAGCAGCTACTTTTTTTCCCAAGTATATGGTACACTTTTATTGTTATAATCACTATGCTGTGCATTAGATTCCCAGAATTTATTCATCTTATAATTGCAAGTTTGTACTCTTTAACCAACATCTCCCCTTTTCCTTCACTCCCAGCCCTTGGTAACCATCATTCTAGTCTTTTTTTCTATGAGTTTGGCTTTTTTAGATTCCACATATAAGTGAGATCACACAGTATTTGTGTTTCTCTGTCTGACTTATCTCACTTAGCATAATGTCCTCAAGGTCAATCCATGTTGTCGCAGATGGCAGATGTTCTTCCTTCTCATGGCTGAATAATAATCCATTGTGTATATGTATGTATATCACATCTTTATCCATTCATCTGTTTTGCTTTTTAAGAAGAATAGGAACTATTTCCATTTCCTTTCTCATAATTTTCTGTTTTCAAAATTTCTTATACTTTATCATTCATTCTCCTTCAATCAGAAACACATTTTAAATTATGCTCAGAAAAAAACTTTCAATTTTTTTAAACAATAAGGTAATGTATAATACCAGAACAGTAGATGATTCATAATAATAAATATTTATAACTAATATTATATTAAATGTATATTATATGCCAGTCAGTATATTAAGTTCTTAACCTGTACTTTCCTGTTTAGTCCTACAATTGTATTATTTTTCCCATTTTATCTGTCAGCTTTCTTTGAGGAAAATAATAGAACCTGACTTGGGCTAACTTAGAGAATAAGTGTGTTGGATAGACATGGGGAAGCTAACGAAGTCTGCAGGAAGGCTGAAGGATGGGGTAGGGAGCTGGGACCCCAGGGGTGGGAGCAGTGTGCCCAGGTCAGATGTTGCGTAAGGCTCCACTGCTCCTGATGCCCCAGGCTGCCTCTGCTGTGCTCTCAGGATCATTCACTTCTCCTCTCTCCTTACATGTGTGCACTTCTCCCTCCAAAGTCTTAGCAGGAAGAATTGCTGGCTGAGACGAGGTCACATGCTCAAGCCTTAACCAGTAGGGTGGGGGTTGAGAGGGAGTCTGGCCTCTTTTGCCTCCATGGAAGGAACACTGACAAGTGGTAGATTCCCCAAAAGGAAGCGAAGGAAGGCTGTGTGATGCGAGGTAGGAAGAAGGAAAAGAGGGAGGGACAGAGAAAGAGAAAGAGGACAAGAGAGAAAAGAGGTGAAGGAAAAAGAGTAAGAGAAAAAAAGTCTTCTCTTCGCATTTTATAGATGGGGTGACAGAAGTTAAATAACTTCCTCTCAGACTTACAGATAAAAAGCAGAAGAACCAAGATTCAACACCAGGCAGCCTGATTCCAGATGTGCTTTTAATCGTGCTACTCTTCCTGTGCCCCAGACTCAGACAGGCCAGAAGCATAAACGGGAGTGCACTAAATGCAAATGTCTGCTTTTCCAAGGTCATCTTACCTCCTGACTCTGTGGCACTCCATACTGGGTGCATAATTGTATTCTGGTTTGATCTGAGCATTACCTCTGCTGTTTACGAAAAGCAGGGACTAATTGAGAAAAAGAAGTGTTCTGCACACATGAGGCAGCCAGCAAGAAAAAAAAAGGCTGATCCCAATGGCAGACTGGGGGGTTTTAGGTAAAAAGCTCCTTTTCTCATGTCTAGCTCACAGCCGTTCCTGCTGTCCCCCCAGGCAGGCAGGAGCAAAAGCCAGCTGTGACTGTTGCTTTAATACCTTGACTCTGGTCCTTGAGTGAGATACCAAACAAAAGAAAAGAAAAAAGTCTTCTGGTTTCCTCATAAGAGTATGCCGTTCCCTGGGATTTTTTTCCCATTGATACAATGATCTACCTTAAATTAAATGCTCAATTTTTTAAAACGAGATCTGCCGCTAGGACAGTGACTTGTGTGGCATAAGAAAAATATTCCTCATCTCTCACTTACTCAACGAATTGCTTCCTATAGATTTTTCATTCAAGATCTTTTTTGTCAGTTTCTACCTCTCGTTTGCCTGGACTGTCATCTCCTAAAGAGAGTGACACTGGCCATTTGGATTTCCTTCTTTTTCTAAGAGACGCTTTTACCACTTCTGTTCCACATGGCTCACATTCTGCTTACTACAATTAAGTTCCAGAAATACTAGAATCGTTTCTGAGCTGCTCAAAAACCAGATGGCAACTAAAACAGGATCTAAACAATCATCCCAGGAGTTGAGGTGATGAATGCCTTGGAGGGGCGAGCACTATGGCATGGTAGAAAGAGCCCCTACTTTGGGTGCAGGAGAGCTGGGTCTGAAACCTAGCGCCATAACGTATTAACTACATGAACTTGGGTGAGTGGAGCATCCTCTCTAAGTCTTGATTTCATTGTAAATGAGAACACTAAACTGTGCTTTCCTGGGTGGATGTGAAGTTCAAGCTGGATAATGTGTGTGGATGAGTTTGGAACTGGCGAGTGATGCATAAGTGATGCTCTTTTTGTTGCTGTGGACCGTCTGGAAGGAGTCTCAGAAGCTGGAAGTGTAGGTTTCAAGCATTCCTGTCTTGCAACAAACATTAAGTTTTCTTTTGACAGACCTGAAGTAGACCTTCCCAAGCAGCGACCTATCATAGACAGTTCTGGGCCAGGGCAGGGGTGCAACCCTGGCTGTCAGACAGCAGAGTGATCCCCAGCTGGTTCCTGGCCAACACAGCAATGGACCTTGACACAAACAAAACAGTGGGCTGCGCTGCTCACACTGGGGCTGAGAAATCGCTGGTCCCTGCCATTTCTGGGAGCTCTGCTCTGCACATCTGTGCGGGGGTCGAAGGTGGGGAGGAGCAGCCTCCTTAACATCGTGTCTTCCCACATTCTGCTGTTTACTTTTACTTCATACCCTTTATCACGAATTATAGTTATTTATGTGAAAAAAATGTTTAATGCTGGTCTCTATTTCTATGCTATAAATTCATTGAAGGCATGGAAGATGCCTATTTTTAACACGTTTCAGTTCTCAGTACCACACAAAGCATTTGTCATAAACTAGTCACTTAAGAAGAATTTAAATTTATGCATAGTAAATAAAGTATTCTTGGGAAATTTAGTAATCAAATGTAGTACCATGGTGACTGTCATCTTGCGTAGGATTAGTTTCCTTTCCTTTGAGCATCCTGAAAGAGCGATCATAGGAGAGGGAGTTAAGAATTGATATGGATACAAGGTTCAAAGTAAACACTGTATTTTCTCTACTTCATATTTAATCAATTATTTGGGTAGCTAATATTGACTGAGATCCTGTATGAAAAATGTATTTTGTTTTTGCTTTCGTCTCTCTCCTTTTGAGTTTCTAAATCATGATACAGCAATGACGTGTTCAAGGTTTGGTTTGCTCTTCAGAGATCCTTTGGGAACACTGTACTTTTAGAAAAGACATCAGAATCTCGGGGACACTGTTTCATAAATACGTGGCTGCCATTCACCTCCTTGGTGAGAAAAGAAACCAGCGTAAAAACAGCTGGAAGCCATTTATGGGGCACGCAGAGACGTTCCCAACTCTCTTTCGTTTTTCCGTGTACAGACAGTTCATGAAGCTAATGACAGACATCAGTTTTGGAGAGTTGTTTTCTACCAAACATTTCCAGAGAACAGCTACAGTTTACCTCATCAGGCAAAAAATAGGACACTTTTTTTCTTTTTGGTTGTTAAGAACAAAAAATGTTTTCTCAAATTCACTCTGGCATTGATTTGGAGGAAAAATGAATTTTAGTAGCTCTGAGACACATTCTCCCCCTCCCATCTCTATTAAATCCCCATCAGAAATTCGGAATTATGGTTGTTGCATGAACGGGATTGATCATACTATCATGGCTCAGTGCTTTGCAGGCCTCCGGCAAGCCCAATAACTAATGGTTTACAGCCGTCACGGGCGCTCCAGTGGGGGCTAATAAGAAAAGCTCTAGGGTGTCTGTTAAAGCAACTGCAATGCAAAATAAGAAACCCAAGTTGAGTATTCTGTCAGAGATAAGGACCTGATCTAATAGAAAAGCTGGGGCTTCCGTGCCACTCAGCCAAGGCACGTATGGAGAGGAGGCATTACATAAATAATGCCCGAATACAGCTTGGGCTCCTGCCAAAATGAAAACAGATGTGAGGAGAAGGGAGACAGAGCAGCAAATCAGGAAGGATGTTTACCACAAACATATAGATAATATTTCTGCTCATTTGCAGATAAGCATGCTTACTTTTAAAATGCTACAAGGATTTTTAAACCCTCTGAAATCATCTTCCACATATGGGGAAAGCTGACATTATTCATTTACACATTTACCAAGCACACAGAATGTGCAGATACTGTGCTAGACATGGGAGACCAAAATTTCCTGGCCTCAGACAGGAGACATGAACAGACATTTCTCCAAAGAAGATATACGGATGGCCGATAGGCACATGAAAAGATGCTCATCATCGCTGATCATCAGGGAAATGCAAATCAAAACTACACTAAGATATCACCTTACACCCATTAGAATGACAAAAATAACTAAAACAAATAGTAACAAATGTTGGAGAGGTTGTGGAGAAAAAGGAACCTTCATACACTGCTGGTGGGAATGCAAACTGGTGCAGCCAGTTTGGGAAAACAAACTGGAAAACAGTATGGAGATTCCTCAAAAAATTAAAAATAGAATTACCATACGATCTAGCTATCCCACTACTGGGTATCTATCCAAAGAACTTGAAGTCAGCAATTCCAAAAGTCTTATGCACCCTAATGTTCATTGCAGCATTATTTACAATAGCCAAGACATGGAAGCAACCTAAGTGTCTATCAACAGATGAATGGATAAAAAAGATGTAGTATGTATATACAATGGAATACTACTCAGCCGTAAAAAGAACAAAATTGTCCCATTTGCAACAACATAGATGGACCTTGAGGGAATTATGTTAAGTGAAATAAGCCAGATAGAGAAGGACAATCTCTGTATGACTCAACTCATATGAGGAATTTGAACATGTGGACAAAGAGAACAGATTAGTGGCTACCAGGGGAAAGGTGGGGTAGGTGGTGGGCACAAAGGGTAAAGGGGTGCACCTACAACTCGACTGACAGACAATAACGTACAACTGAAATTTCACAAGATTGTAACCTATCATTAACTCAATAAAAAATTTAAAAAAAATTTCCTGGCCTTAGGGAGCTCACAGTGCCATGAAAGATGTTGGCAACAAACACTGCATGCTGTGAAAACGGAGCTGGACTAGACCAAGTGCCTCATGGAGGGAAGAGTTATGCCTTCATCTTTGTACACGTGTAGCTCTTAGCCCAGTGCCTGGCAGGTGTATTCAGTTCTTGTAAATACTGAAATTGGTGAGAACTGAAGTGCTACTATAGAGCTTTCTAATATAGGAGCTCAGAGGAAGGACGCCTAAGCTAGTCTAAGTGGCAGGAATAAGGAGAGGGTTCGAGACAACTTTCTAGAGGAAGTGACATTTGAACAGAATTGTTAATGACAGGTAGGGGCTAAATAAGCAAAAAAAGAGACCAAAAACATCCTAGGCACTGGAAACGTTTGTCCAAGAGAGGGGAGTGATTGAGAGAGGGGCAATTTCCTAGAAATGCAAATCCAGTACTTTGTTATATCTGCAGGGCAAGGTGGGAGGTAGGGAATAGTCAGACATGGGGCTAGACAGGCGACAGGGACCAGGCCTTGGAGAATGTCATGCTAACGAGTTTGAATTTTTAACCTTAAGACAATTGAAAAACCACTGAAGCATTTAAAGCAGGGAAGTGACATGACTGGATTTACAGCGTTAAAAGACCATGATGATAGCTTTATGGAGGATCACTTAGAGGGGTGATATAATTGTAGGCAGAGTGTGATTGAGAAGCTTTGAAACGATCTAGACAAAAATTGACCGGGATTCATAAGGCGGTAGCTGTGAGGATGGAGATATGTGGACTAAATTGACAGATATATAGGAGGTGGAATTGGCAGACCTGGTGACTATATGCAGAGGTGAGACAGAAAAAGGTATCAAGAAAAATGCTCAGAGTTCTGACTTGGGTACCTGGGAGAAGGATAGCACCGTTCACTGAGGTGGGAAATACTGAAAGAGAGAGGTTTGGCTGAGGTAAATAATAAGGGATTCTCTTATTTATATGATGAGCTTGAGGGTTTGGGGAAATTCAAGCTAAGATATTCAATAGGCTGTTGAATATTTACTTATGTAGATTATAGCTCATAAGAGAGCTCTAGACTAATGATGTAACTTTGAGAGTCCTTACCTTGTACAACAAATAATTACAGCACACAGACTAGATGAGATCATGCAGAAGATGTCGAGTGAGAAAGCCTGAGAGAGCCTTGAATGATCAGCAGAGGGAAAAGAAAAGCTCCTCTGAAAAAAGAAGCTGAATAAATAGAGAAAGAAATAAGAAAAAAGTAAGTGTCTGGAGTGTATGTACATCTATTAAAGGAATAGCACTACAAAAAAAAAAAAAAAGATAAATAAAGGATGGGTCAGCATCTTGGCTCTAAGGATAGTGTTAAATTTTACACTTATTGTCTCCAACATCCAGCATTCCAAAATCACAGATCAAACATACCAGAATTGCATATTCTTTTCTTTTTTTTTCAGTGCAAGTAGCGTCAAAATGTACCTGTCAAATAATAATAATATGACAGGAGAGACCCAAAGAAAAATATCTCCCATTTGGGAATCAGGGTACAGTTGCTATTCACCTCTATCTTTCCTGATAAAGCTTCTGCTGCTTGTTTTGGGATATGTGTTGTTATGGTGATGGAAGCAGAATGGATGGAGTCTAAGAGGAAGAAGTTGTAAAAGATACTATAAAATGCAGAAGGATTTAAACTTTATAGATCTTTGAAAAAGTGTACTCCTTGCAAAGAATATATGGGGATGTAACTGTGCCCGGGGTGGTGACAGGCACCACACGATCTGGAAGTTTTCCGTCATCACCCCAGACACTAGGGGTTTTATGGTCTTCTTTAAATGTGTTTTCTGAGACTCTGCTTTCATGATGCTCTTTCTCTAATTAACTTGAATGTTTTGATGATGTAAAGTTTCACTTTGTCAGCCTTGACACTTAATTTGATGCCTACAGTCCCCCTTTCAGTGACGTTGGCAATCTTCTTTAAAATGGAAATCACTAAAATGAAATCTAGAGGATCCACGTGTTGTCTGCAGCTGAAAAGCCTAAAATGCTCAAGGCAGATGTGGCATTTATTTTAAAAAAATGTGATTCTAGTCTGATTCTATTAATAAGCGAAATGCTAGTTTATAGTCTTTCCTGGATGTAGACACTTAAACGTACACTTTACCTATAATAAAAGCAGCATAGCCTAGATATGCACCAGAATAGAACACGGAGGCCTTTAAAACAAGAAGGAGACAAACCTACAGACCTCCCTCCAAGAAGTATACTCAAATAAAAGCAGAACTAAAAGTTTAAATAACAACAGCTTTATTTTCAAACAAAACCACATTTTAAAAGTCCTTTCACATTCACTATTTTGTTGCCTCACTATCAACCCTTTCAAGGTAAGAGTTCTTATCCTCATTTTACAGGTGAAGAAACAGAAGCATGGAGATTGAGTGACTTGACCAGTCAGAGTTAGAGAAGAGATTGGAATTCAGACCCAGGTCTCCCATAGTCACCTGCCAGAAATCATTCTTCATTCCATGGAAAATGGAGAATTGGTGATTTGCAATTCTGTTAAGAACGATTGGGAAATCACGCACTTCCAAAGTCATTGGAAGCCTCTGAATTACCATCCTTAAGGAATAAATCTTGTCCAAATAAAGATACGTTTTGGGTTTTTTTTTTTTGTATTTGGTGTCCATTAATTAAAAATTTCTTAACAATAAGCATATTTCACAGGTGAAATTCAACTATTCTAACCAAAAATATATTTATTAACTAGAATAGCAGGAGTCTTACTTTTTCTTTCTTTGAAACAGTGTATAAAGCCAAACTTACAGTCCCCTTTCTCATTCTTACTGATTTTATGGACTTATCTGACATGAATATTCCAGAATAGGCAATGCATTGTATTCGCAGCAACCTAACTTCCACTGGAGGGTATTTTAGTGAACATCTTTTCCAAGTGACAAAATGTTTTTCTAACTAGATGTGAAAATTTTCTTTATGTATTTATGCAATTCATATTAATATGTATGCATATTCTTCACATATTTATGCATAAATTTATATATTGATAGATAAAAGAATGTATGCATATATATATATATATATGATCTCTCCTAGTCTCTACACTGCAACTACAAATTACAAACTTTTTGTTAAGAGTTTAATATTTAATGTACACCGAGAGAGAAAGAGAGGGGAAGCAAAGACCGAGACTCAAAGGATGGAAGATCCTGAGATATTTTCTCATACTCTTTTATTCTGAACAGTTTCTTATTTTCTAATAGGTCAGTAGGATTTATTCTAGACCAATTCTCAACAAAAGAAAGTCCAATCAGATTCCACATTATACTGAAGATTGAGATATTTATTCATTTACATGTGAAATGAGGTACATGATACATTTTAGAGCAGGCGTTGTAACAATCTTCTGTAAGAATTTAATATTTCATCATTACTGTTAGTTTAATAACTCTGAAAATCACTAAGTTTAGCACTTATTTAAAAATAAGCTCAAATTTCTGCTTATTTGATTCATGGCTGACCAGAAATTTTTACACTAACTTGTCTACCATGCCATTCTATAATCCAGGAAAATGTTTCAAATTTAACTTTAAACACATTTGTGTTGTTATGGTGCAATGTTTTAACTAAATTAGTTGCTTATAGTTTAATGGAAGGAATATTCATATATTAAAATATTTCATTTAACGTATTTTATATTGAAGCTTTACCAATTCTGTTTCCTCAGAAATATAATTTAATTTTTGGTTTAAGAAGATACAATGAATGTTACTGAAAGACACAGACTTCATGTATTTCAGTTCCTAGAAATTTTGAGACCACTGCTTTGCCAAATGGAATCATACTATACGCATTCTTATGTCTAGCTTATTTTACTCAGATAAGATTTTTGGTAGTCATTGATTTTCTTGTATATAGAGTAGTTTGTTTCTTTTTATTGCTGAATATCACTCCATTGTATAGGAGTATCACTTCTTTTGTTATCCATTCTAGAAGCAGAAGGGAATTTTTTTGTGATCTTCACCGTGAGAACCTGGTGGGGTACCTGGAGGTAAAATTCATGAAAGTGTGGGGACCCCGTGAATGCTGGGCCCCCTTGGAAATTTTAACTGTCAAGCTCCTCTACATTGAACCTTCAGCAATTCATCAATTACAGTTTAAGGTGTTCCCATGGACGCCGGCTCCAGCTGTGGGCTCCTGCTCTCTGCACACGGTGATTCTCTGCATCTGCCTGTCTGTCTCTCCAAATTGCAGAGGAGCAGTTTGTCCTGTGACCTCGATTATCTGATGGATCTAAGAAGATTTGTTCATCTTCAGTTTGTTCAGTTTTTCTCTCATTGTGAGAATGAGAATGATGACTTCTAAGGTCCTTTACATGACAGCTGGGAAACCAGAAGTTCTTGTCACCTATTTCTTATTTAGCAATTTGTCTCTTTACTGAGATATGAGTTCTCTATACATTGTGGATAAAGGTCCTTTGTCAGATACGTGGATGTCAACTAGTTTTCCTTTTAGTTTTCTCTTTCAATTGTTCACTGAGAGTGTATATATATATGTGTGTGTGTGTGTGTGTGTATAAAACCTTGATTTCTGTATGTTGACCCTGTATCCTGAAAATTTGCTAAATTAAATTATTAGTTCTAATAGCATTTTTGTAGATCCCTTAGGATGTTTTGTAAATACAAACACATTGTCTGCAAATAAAGACTGCTTTTATGTCATTTTTGCTGTCTATAGGTCTTTTATTACTTTTTAGACCCTTGCACTATCTAGAACCTCATGTACAATGTTGAAGTGGTGAGAGCACACAGACTTGCGCCATTCCCAATCTTAAGGAGGAGAGTTTTTCTTTCACCGTTAAGTAGCAACTTTGCACAGATGTTCTTTACCAGGTTGGGAGTATTCACTTCTATTTCTCCTTTTCTGAGAGTATATGTTTTATTATTATTATTATTATTGAGTTTACAATAGTTTACACTATTGTGAAATTTCAGTTGTACATTATTATTTGTCAGTCATCATGTAAGTGCTCCCTTTCACCCATTGAACACACCCGCCAACCCGCTTCCCCCTGGTAACCACTGCACTGTGCTCTTTGTCCTTGTGTTTGTTTATCTTCCACATATGAGTGAAATCATATGGTTTTTGTCTTTCTCTGTCTGGCTTATTTCGCTTAACATAATACCCTCAAGATCCATCCATGTTGTTGAGAATGGGGCAATTTTGTCTCTTTTTATCGCTGAGTAGTATTCCATTGTATATATACCACATCTTCTTTATCCAGTCATCAGTCGATGGGCACTTGGGCTGCTTCCATGTCTTGGCTATTGTGAATAATGCTGTGACAGACATAGGAGTGTGTAAGTCTCTTTGGATTGTTGATTTTAAGTTATTTGGATAAATACCCAGCAGTAGGATAGCTCAGTCATATGGCATCTCTATTTTTAATTTTTTGAGGAATCTCCATACTGTTTTCCATAGCGGTTGCACCAGTTTGCATTCCCAACAGCAGTGTGTGAGGGTTCACTTTTCTTCACAACCTCTCCAACATTTGTTATTTTTTGTCTTAGTGATTATAGCCATTTTAATGGGTATAAGGTGATATCTTAGCGTAGCTTGGATTTGCATTTCCCTGATGACTAGTGATGTTGGACAACTTTTCATGTGCCTATTGGCCATCTGTATATCTTTTTTGGAAAAATGCATGCTCACATCCTTTGCCCATTTTTTGATCTGTTTGATTTTTTTTGTTGTTCTGTTGTGTGACTTCTTCATATATTAAGGAGATTAACCCCTTGTCAGATATATGATCTGCAACTATTTTCTCTCAATTGGCAGGTTGTCTTTTTGTTTTAATCCTGGTTTCCTTTGCCTTGCAGAAGCTCTTTAGTCTGATGAAGTCCCAATTGTTTATTTTTTCTTTTGTTTCCCTTGTCTGAGTAGACATGGTATTCGAAAAGATCCTTTTAAGAGTAATGTCAGCATGTACTACCTATATTTTCTTCCAGAAGTTTTATGGTTTCAGGTCTTACCTTCAAATCTTTGATCCACTTTGAATTAATTTTTATGTATGAAGAAAGATTGGTCTACTTTCATTCTTTTGCGTGTGGCTGTCCAGTTTTCCCAACACCATTTATTGAAGAGACTTTCCTTTCCCCATTGTACATTCTTAGCACCTTTGTCAAAGATTAGCTGTCTGTAGATGTGCAATTTTATTTCTGAGCTTTCAATTCTGTTCCATTGAATTGTGTGTCTGTTTTTGTACCAGTACCATGCTGTTGTGATTACTCTAGCTTTGTGGTACATTTTGAAGCCAGCAATTGTAATGCCTCCAGTTTTGTTCTTTTTTCTCAGGATTACTTTAGTTATTTGGGGTCTTTTCTTGCCCCATATGAATTTTAGGATTCTTTGTTCTATTTCTGAGAAGAATGTCATTGGGATTCGGATTGGCATTGCATTGAATCTGTAGATTGCTTTGTGTAGTATGGACATTTTAACTATGTTTATTCTTCCAATTCACGTGCATGGAATTTATTTCCATTTCTTAACGTCATTATCGATTTCTTTCAGTAGTGTCTTATAGTTTTCATTGTAAAGGTCTTTCACCTCCTTCGTTAAGTTTATTCCTTGATATTTTATTGTTTTTCTTGTGATTGTAAATGGGATCATCTTCTTGAGTTCTCTTTCTGTTAGTTCATTACTCAAGTATAGAAATGCCACTGATTTTTGGAAGTTGATTTTGTATCCTGCAACTTTACGGTAGTTGTTGATTATTTCTAATAGTTTTCTGATGGATTCTTTAGGGTTTTCTATATATAAAATCAAGTCATCTGCAAACAGTGAGTTTCACTTCTTCATTTCCTATTTGGATTCTTTTTTCTTGCCTAATTGCTCTAGACAAAACTTCCAGTACTATGTTGAGTAAGAGTGGTGATAGTGGGCACCCTTGTCTTGTTCCTGTTCTCAGAGGGATGGCGTTCAGTTTTCCCCATTGAGCATGATGTTGGCTGTGGGTTTGTCATATACGGCCTTTATTATGTTGAGGTACTTTCCTTCTATCCACTTTTTGTTAAGAGTTTTTATCATAAATGAATGTTGGATCTTATCAAATGCTTTCTCTGCATCTATTGAGATGATCATGTGAGTTTTATTTCTCATTTTGTTAATGTGGTGTATCACATTGATTGATTTGCAGATGTTGAACCATCCCTGTATCCCTGGTATAAGTCCCATTTGATCATGATGTATGATTTTTTATATATTACTATGTTCAGGTTGCCAATATTTTCTTGAGGATTTTTGCATCTATGTTTATCAGCGCTATTGGCCTGTAGTTTTTGTTTTTTGTATTCTCCTTGTCAGGCTTTGGTATCAGGGTGATGTTGGCCTTGTAGAATGTGTTAGAAAGTGATCCATCTTTCCCAATTTTTTGGAATAGTTTGAGAAGGATGGACATTAAATCTCCTTTGAATGTTTGGTAGATTTCTCCAGGGAAGCCATCTGGTCCTGGACTTTATTTTTGGGGAGATTTTTGGATACTGTTCCAATCTCTTTACTTGTGATTGGTCTATTCAGATTATCTATTTCTTCTCGATTCAGCTTTGGGAGGTTGTAAGAGCCTA